GAAGGCGTCCCGGGGATTATGTCGGCCTCAACCTACTTGTATAATATAATCGAAATAGAACAAGAGAAATTCTTTGTTGTGACTGGATGATATTGACCTAAAAATATCTGCACGATTTTTCGACATTCAGACAATTTCATACTAGACGAAATCCAGCTTAGTAAAACATTATTAATCTTGCATTGGATGCTAAATGTACTAACTTAATACAAAAGCTGAGGTTACAAGACATTCAGGCTAGTATCCTATCTCCTTTAGGAAACAAGTTAACTGAGAGTTAGCGAAACTTTAGTTTTGAAATAAGAGAGCCATATAGGTTCAATATTAGTTAATAAATCTAAAAAACAGGATCTGAATTGTTCTCTTATTTAAGACATGGCTTCATTTAGCATTTTTATAATGAGAAATAAATGTGTTTTTAAGGTTTAGTGTTCTGGCATTCTCTTAGCTGATTTTATGGCCAATAAATAAATTCCAATAGAGTTATGATCATTCTAAAATTTATTATAACCTGATCGAATAAATATAGGCGTAATTAAACAACAAATTTGTTTAAAAATTAAGTTAGATGGTTTAATGAAACGAATAAATAATTCTAAAATTCATATTAGTATTTAGGTTCAGCTAACCTACCTTGCCCAATATAATTATAATAATAGCGTTTAAGGTGGAAGAGACGAAGAGATTTAGGATGAGACAATTGAGGGTTGATGTGAACGGGCAGACACGAACGGTGACCACTACTCGGTAGACGATCACAGCGGCTAAACCAATCGCCACGCAAATGCACTGAAAGAGGTAAGGATATGAAAGGAATGCAGCAAGCGAATGGGAACAGAGACCAGACAAGCTGGGATCAAATGTAAAAATATAAAATCGTGTCATTTTAGAACATAATATTCAAAAACATACTTGCTTTAAGAAGTTGGTTGACTTGGTCGCAACTTGGTCTTGTTGTCAGGATTACTTAGTAGAACGCACCTAGTTCGAAGTCGTCTGCCATAGTAGTTGTCATGATTCCCAGCATCAGACAGTGGAATTGGTACATTCTCCACTGTCTTATGCTGGGAATCATAGCAACTACTATGGCAGACTACTTCGAACTAGGTGCATTCTACTAAATAATCCTGACAACAAGACCAAGTTGCGGCGAGGTCAACACACTTCTATAAATCGAAAGGAAACTGCGACCATACCAGAGGCCACGAAATCTTGGTCTTCATATGCTTGCTTTAAGTTCAGCCGAAGCAAGTTCTTTAAATATATCTATGTTGAGCGACACGCCACTTGTCAGTAAGGCATAATAAACGAAGTTTCCCTGAGCTAAATTCCTTAACTCACCAGACAAACTCTAAAATTTCGTTTAGCAATTAGCTAAAATATGTTGCTAATTAAAAGCCTGCATAAGTCGAGACAAAATGAGCAGGGAATATATGACAGTTATTCTTTAGTATGCCTAGGAAAGCATAGTTAATCACTATTAATTTTACGTAGCTTTTAGTCAAATCAATAATATGGTTGTCTCTAGGAAAAATTTACTTAGATACGATAGTCAAAAAGCCTAGGTAAGGCCGAAATTTCAGGTGATTCTTGCCATATGTATCACAAGGTAGAGGGCAAATCATTAAAGAAGATAGATAAGTTTCATAACTAATCTTAGGCAAGTAATTGATGTATCCTAGCTTAAAGAAAGATGTCTCAATAAATTTTGAGCAATCGGATACTGAACGCACATAAGAAATTAGTTTGTATTCATACAAACTCAAAATAATAGTTAATTATAGCTGAACGATTCACGCGTCCTAAATGCCTGGTGTGGATAATATAGAATAAGCACACGAAATAAAATGACGGTTGGAGGCGAATTCAAGATAGTAAAGAATATATAATTTAGCATAACGATGATTTATAAAATGCAAATTCGACAAAAACCGAACGAATAAAATTCATATAAAGTAGGATTAGAAACTCTAGAATCCCAGTATAAATGTTATATTAGAAAAGGTTGACTTTCTTGAAAGTAACGTCTGCCTTGTGACTCAAGGACACCTGTAGCACTGTGACGTTGCGGTAACATGCTGCGATTATACGCTACACTAACCGAAATTTATACCATTTAGGTGCCGGTGAGACCATTGCGAAAATAGGAGCTGAGAAACGAATATATGTCGAGCTGAGATAAGGAAAAATAATGCTCATTCGGTCTGTAGCGGTATGGTGATAGGGCTTATGAGTCAGGGTTTTGAAGTAGACTCAACGTAGCCATAGTATACGCACCTTAAAGCATTTGTGGTAGAACCTGGGAAATAACGACTCGACTAAAAGAGATACAATGCCTGTAGCCGATAAGAAATGGGTCTTGAAGTGCACAAGAAATATTCTTATAGGAATTATAAGGAGTCTGTAGAATTAAAGGATCAGCTAATCCTGCACATTAGGGGGAGGTTGCAATTGCTCTTCAATAAACCCACCCAAGAAGGACAACACCTAGACTGCTCGATAACACACAAGTCGTGATAGATAGGAAATGAAATATGAGGATAAGTTTAGGTAGATGTAAGGGAAAAAGAGCATTGGTAAAGGAATGGACTTAATTTATCACATAGAGGAGTTGTAGCCTGGCACTTATAATGTTAGTGCTCACTATCGATACCGAAAACGATGCCACGGAATGTACCAATTACCTGTAATAACGCAGAAAATTAGCATGATTAATATGCCAGAGGACTCCACACAAGGTGAATTCATCGATGTATCCTTGACAAGAATTGTGAAAATGAGGTCAAAATAATTCTATATAGATCATAACATTTTGATTTTTATATATTCAACCAAACCAAATAAATAATAACCGTATTCGAAATTTACTGAAAACCAATTAACCAAATAAAAGTTGGTTG